GTCAAAATGAAGCTTCCAGTCAAACAGGTCACAAGGGAATCCCCAGACAACCTAGACTGTTGCCAAGACAATGGATGGCTGCCCACAAACTGTCAGCAAGACCCCATTGCTGAAGACAATACCCACACAACACATTGAACCTTGAGAGAGGGAGCTGGTACTTATATAGAACCTACATTCTAATGTCTGAAGTATGGGAAGGTACTCTACAGGCTACCAAAAGAGAAACATAAACACCAACCTAACTACAAACCCTTTGATCTGCAATGCTGTCCTGCTTGCAAAATACGCTAGGACAATGGCGGCACAAACCTTGTAGGAGTAACCAACCAATGCCTAATTTGAAGTAAGGCCCACTGCATGAGATGGAGTTCGTGCTGGCACTGCTTGGGTGACCAAGAACCATGGACTAGAAAGGCCAGAAACCCAGGGTGAAATGAAATACTACTGGTCTAAAAAAAATGAATCAGTTTCCGTTGCAGCGTCAGCATCTCTTCAGCAGCCAGAGCATCATGGTTCTCCCTGATTCTTCCCTAACATGAAATTCCTAACCTTAAAAAACATTTTAGAATACAGGTTGTACATACTCATTACAAATAAACAAAACTACAGATTCATGCCAAATAAAGTAACTAAAACAAAGCAACAAGCATTCTTCTTTTGATATACAGGGCTGATATGAATGACCATAAATCATGAAGTCCCAGTGACTAACTATTCATTTGACTGCCTTATTGGATATTGAGATAATAATCAGGTCTTCATAAAATTTTACACTATTTTTATATAAAACATGTTTTTTCTTTCAAAGTGAGATTTACTTGAATTCTTTGACAGCTAGAAGCCAAGTAAATTTGCTTTGAATTCTTTGCATGACGAGGATTCTAGCAGGCATATTAAATACATTTCATTTACTAACGTACAACTATAAGTGACCTGGGCTCTCATTTTTTCCATTTTTAATTTTTTAAATGAAAACAGTTTTTGATATAATGTATTCTGATCACGCTTCCCCACTCCCCCAACTTCTCCCAGATTCTCACCTCTTCCCTAATCAATTCCACCCCCTTTCTCTCTCTTTGAAAAAAATAAACAAAAAAACAAGAAACACATTAAAAACACATGAAAATGAAAGCCAAAACATACAAACAAAAGGCCAATAAGACAAAAAAAAAAAACAAATAAAACAAAGATAATACCAAAAAGTTTACAAAAATACCATTGAGTTCATTTTTTGTTGAGCAACTACTCCTAGACATTGGGCCTACCCTGAAGTGTGGTTATTTACACAGGATGATTCCTTTGGGAAAAATTAACTTTTCCCTTGCCAATGGGCATCAGTTGCAGATAGCTTCTTGGATAAGAGTGGGATCCTTTGTCCACTGCCCTGTCTCAGCACTGGTACTCCTCTGACTTGAACCTGTGCAGGCCATGTGCATGCTGCCACAGTCTCTGTGAGTTCACATGTGCATCAGTCCTGATGTGTCTGGAAGACATTGTCTCCTTGAAGCCATTCACCACCTCTGGTTCTTACAATCATTTCACCTCCTCTTCCACATAAATCCTTATACCCTTGGGGGAAAGGTTTGATGAAGACATCCCAAATTTAGAACTCAGTGTTCCAAGCAAAATCTCTCGCTCCCTTGCACATCGTCCAGTTTCTATGTTAGTTCCCATTTATTGCATGAAGAAGCTTTTCTAATTATGGCTGAGCAAGATCCTGATCTATGAGTAGAGCAAAATGTCATTAGGGGTCATTTTATTGCTATGTTCCTTTAGCAGAATAACAATATTTTGTTTTCCTGGTGGTCCCATGTTTTTTTTTTTTATTTCCAGTGCTTAGAATGTTGCTTGAGGGTGTGTAAGTGTGTGTGAGAGAGAGATGGGAGAGGATGTGTGATGATAGTTGATCATTTGTTTTTGGTGATATATTGTTGCTTAACTTTGGTCTTTGCAAAATTGAAGGCAATTCACTGTCTATAATAACCCATATTTTGATCATCTAGAAGCAGAACATTGCCACCCATATTCACTTTCCCTGGAGCCCTTTGTTTTCTCCTCTTAACATTCACACATCCCAGAAAAATTAAGGAATGACAAGGCTGCGCCTCAGTTCCTGGCCAGGTTAATGTGGTACTTGAAGTAGAAATATACATGAAAGGTGTTGACTTTCCAACCCCCTATGGACCTGGTGAACCAGAATCTTTCTCTACAGGTGGTCTGCATATTCATTGAGGTTTTGAGAGTCAGTCCTCTGTGAGATTCTTCCCACTGCTGGCCAACATCCTCTTTGGAATATCCCTGTGATACTAAGAATTCTCTAGTAGCTTAGAGTAGAGACTCCTTTGTTACCACTCGTTGATTGACAAGGCCACTTTCTGGAGATAGATGACCAAAGTGCTTAAGGATCATAGAGCATCTCAGAGATAGACGTACATGTGCTTGAGTAGAATCTGAAGAGCCAGGTCAGGCTGGCCAGCAATGGTCAATGATATGTATCAAAACCTACAGTGGAAGAGAAGGAGACACTGTGAGTCTGCCAACACCAATCCAAAACCAAAATTGAGGGATGGAGAGGGATCAGAAGCTAAGGAATACAGTCAGGGACAGGCCCAGGTGGAACGTTCAAAGCCGAAGTCTTCCTAGTTCCTACAGACTGTTACTTAGGCTTATTAAGGTGGCAGCAGCTTTTTACTTGTGCCATCTTCAGGAATGGCCATTTGTCCATCCATTACTCAACTTTCAAGTGATATAGTTCCAAAAAATGCACACCGAATTTTGTTTAATTCAGTTTAGTCAATATTTAGAGATTGTGTGACACATGCCATAATCATGACCAAAGAAGAAAAGTAAAGCTACAGAGTCAAAATTAGCAACCAACTGAATAAATGCCAACCCTCTTCCATACAGAATCACACCCAATGAATGCTTCTGTCTACCTTTATTTTATGTGTTTTGATCCATTTTACACACCATTCCAACAATCTCGGTTACTTATGTCTGAGACCATTACAAGAAGAATGAACTAGAGCAAATGGAAAGAAAAAGATAGCACAAGCAGTGCTGTTCCTTCAGGGAAACACACTGATCCAGTCAGAAAGTGGCAGATTGTCATAAAATGAAAGAAAAGACATAAATAGAAGACCAGAGCTCAGGAAGCATATAGCCCTCCGGATTTACTTTTACATGGATACCAACATCTGTCTACACCTCATAAGACCTAGGTCTTTTCATTTCACATCAAGGCTGTAGGGCCTTGAAAGAGAGCTGAGCATTTACAAAAGCTAGCATGTGTTCAGAACACTGTATCTGAGAAAATTAAGATTATGTAACATATTTTATAAAGATCTCAAAAGAGGATCCAAAGGAAAAAGCACGGTGCTGGAAACAGCAGGCACGGTGCATCTGGGAGGTTTGCAATGGCTCACACCACAAACGTCTGAACAGCTGAAGCTTCAGTATGTGTTTAAAAGGGAGAAACGTACTCGGCACAATGACAAACAGGCTGGAATAAGGAAACTCTTGTGCCTGGGCCCTGATTTATCTATGTGCCTCTTGCATGTGGGAGACTTGTGCACCATCAGCACCAGCTGTGCACTTATGAACACTGCGGAGCCCTTCCCATCTGAGCTGTCAGCACACACTCCACATGCTCCAACCCCCCTGGTGGTTAATTCCATCAAACCTTTAGGAAGCTCCAGACAGGAGCTTATTTACCTGTTCCTTAAGGAATATTTTAAATGAGTTTGTCTGGCTAAAAAATATGAAAATCATATGCACAATCTACATATAGTATGTATATTGATATAGTGTATTAAATGTAATTATCACATATAAGGAAACAGAGAAACAGACAGGTAGGCATGGAATTAGAAATATGCATTGGAAAAAATCATAAAAATACACTCTAAACTCTTAATTGATTTTCTTTAGGAAATAAAATTACTTCTGATTTCCTTTTTTCTTTATATCTCTGCATTCTGTCAATATTTTTGGTAAGATACCACACATATATATTTATATATGACATCCCATATAATATGGGAGAGAGATAGGAGAGAGGGTACTGAAAAAGGGAGAAAGAAACATATAGAAGGAGGGGGGAGAAGGAAGAAAGAGAATAAAGGAAGTTAAAAGGATGAGGAAACAGGAAAGGAAAGGGAAGAAGGGGGAAGATGGAAGGTGAGAAGGATGGAGGAAAGCATAATGGACTGGGTGAGTGTGGTGGGTAACTTTATTGATTTCTCAGTTGCTATCCATCCTGTAATGTGTACTTCATCTTTCTCCATATTAAAATATCCTACCATCTTGACAATATGGAGCTTCCCTGACATCCCCTATTGATTGTTCTACATGCCCAGTCCCTAAGGAAGTCCCTCTCTTGTGGCTGATAAAACCAAACCCATGCCAGGTGGTGGTGGCGCACACCTATAATCCCAGCACTCAGGAGGTAGAGCCAGGCGGATCTCTGTGAGTTCCAGGCCAGCCTGGTCTACAGAGCGAGATCCAGGACAGGCTCCAAAGCTACACAGAGAAACCCTGTCTCAAAAAACAAACAAACAAACAAACAAAAAAAAAACCAAAGCCATAAGGACAAAAAATTCCTGTCCTTGGACATGGACAAAGATGGAGACCCTCCACCAATTGCCACAGCAACGAACTCCCCTCTAGGTCTATGCCATACTCAGTCAGGTTATCTTTCTGCTCTGAAACATGGGCATAAAAGTGAAAAAAAGAAAACCTTGGCTCCTGATGGCAACCACTTTGCCACAGGCTAGTACAAACAATGGCAGGCCGAGATGAAGACAGGATACAGACCAATCTGGTCTGACCATTCCCTGGAGCTTTCTACTCAAAGGGTAAACAGGGCCCAAGACACCTGAGGAAGCCGTCTTACTTTTCTCTGTCCTAAACACGCCCTTTCTTTGTATGCTGGTTAAGTCTAAACGGCATAAAATGGGATTGACATCATGTAATTACTTGCCTTTTACACTGTGCTAACTTAATTTGCTTTTCATTCTCAGGTATTTAAGAGGCCATTATTTTCCCATCAGACGTTGCTGTCTGCCAATTAAAGCATTAGATCGATGAGTGAGAGAGAGCACACCATTCAGGAAGATTTCGGGTGGGAAAGCAACAGCTTTGCGTCACTTTCTCTATGTCAAAGACACAATTATGTCACCAGTTACCCACTTAGATGATACCCTTTGTTCATCATATGTCATACTTTGATTCTACTTGAAAGTAAAATATGGCTTCTCTATAGAATAAGTTTTGCAACTAAATATTAACTAGGTCCTCTCTAAATAAAGATTAAGGGAGCAAGGGACAGTGTGGGGAGATGGATTCGTTGGGAGTGCATATTTACCCTTTTATAGGATCCTGAATTAAAAAATACATGGCAAGTCTGTGTTTTACCAGATGAGAATTTCATCAGAAACCACATCCCAGCTCCATGGCACCAGTTCAATTTCATGATCAAATACGATCTGTGTCTGAGGGATATAAGGGTTTGAGCTGTTTAAGTACAGTGTGATGACCTGAACTAAAAAGAGGAGGGGGGAAGCATGTCATTTTTCTTCTTACTCAGTCTTATTTAAGTAATAAGAGCTGTGGCACTGAGGGCTTTCTATCTCATCCCTTGAAACTCAGTCATTTTCTCTTTCTCTGTGTCATTATGGAAAGCACCTGTACTTTGGAAGTGCAGGAAATCATAGTAATTGCCCAAGAACAGTGGAGGGAGAAAGGGTCCAGGACAAAGGTACAGACATTTGTCAACTCCAGAGAGTACTTTCTTAAGAAAGAGAATTACCAAGTAAGAAGAGGTCATCATAAGCAGAGCAGATGACTCGCACTGCACCATTAATAAAGTGGTAGGCTGCCTGTTCTGATAATTCAGAGGCCCAAAGAAGAGAATGGCTTATGCAACCATTAATTACAAAATATGATTGTTGTTTGTAGTGGCCTCCTGGCCAGACTTCCTGATTCCGCTCCTGGTCTGGAAAAGTAAGTGCATATGCGTTTATCAAGCAAAGGACTATGGACTGTTTTGATTACCCTAATCCCAGGTTTAGAACACATACTGGTTTAGTCTATCACGCCCTTCTGAGAGTCAACCCCTGGGAGATAAGGCTGTTGACTAACAACTCTGCCTCAGAGTTAACCCTGAAACCACTGCAGGTAGCTAAATTTAAATAATTTAAAAATATTAGGTAGCTAAAGTTACATTGAAAGTGAAAATTAAATTGAATGTAATTCATAATTTTTCATTTGCACTAGCCAAATTCCAAGGAATCCCTAGTCAGGTCACCAGTGGCTATCATACTGGGTAGTAGAGAAGCTGAACATATATGTATCACAGGAAGTTCAGTGAGGCACTGTGTGACTACAGCTCTTGCTCTCTTGACCTCCCTCCTCTCCAAGGTAAAGCACAGCCCTGCATAGGCATCTAAGGTAAAAAGAGGATTCTCCCTGAAAGTTCCCTCAGAGGACACAATTTGCCTTACTGTGTCTATGCCCAAAACTAGTTCAGGCTAGATGGGACCCCATGCCTCTAGACCTCATGTATATTACTCCAGGACATGTCCAAATGGAAACTAACCACAAAAACAGGAGTTGCTAAGGGACTGCTAAGCAGGAAGCAACTTACTCTATTGATTGATGTAAGGTCTACTAGCAGCCTGATACAGGGGAGGCTCCTAGGTTGTTGGGTGCATTTTGGGGAGAGGGGTGTAGGCATAGCCTCTTCCAGAGGTCCTGAGTTCAATTCTCAGCAACCACATGGTATCTCACAACTATATATATATATAGTAACAACAATTAATGAAAAAAGAGGCCATGAATTTGAAAGAGAGCAAAAAGGAGGGTTATATGAGCAAATTTTGAGGGAGGAAAAAAAGGGAGAAATGATGTAATTATAGTATAATCTCAAAAAGAGTAGAAATATTTCTAAATGATCAAAGGATGGAAGGGTCTGACACCAGATACAACAGAGAAAGATGTGTTCAGACTCAATGTTGTCCTTGATCAAATGGAAAATAATTATCTATCTACAGATGATGCTTATCTTCATAGCAAATTAAGACAAGCATCCCAGTTCATGACTGGTGTCTTTGTTTGTTTTCTTTAGCTATAATAAAACACCATGACCAAAAATCAAGTTGGAAGAGAAATGTTCTATTTCATTTTACAACTCTCAGGTCATATTCCATCACTGAGGGAAGTCAGGGCAGGAATTCAAGGCAGGAACTGCGAGGCAGGAAGTAAGGCAGAAGCCATGGAGAAATGCTGCTCACTGGCTTGCTCTTCATGGTGAGCTCAACCTGCTGTTTATACAACCCAGGACACCTGTCCAGGTATGACACTTCCCACATTTGGCTGGACCCTCTCACAGCAATTATTAATCAAGAAAATGCCCCCACCAACTTGCCTAGAAGCCAATCTGATGGAAGCATTTCCTCAAAGTTCTCTCTTCCCAGATGACTCTAACTTGTATCAAAT